CCATCCCCATCACCATCGTCACCATCCCCACCATCATCACCATCAACATCGTCATCATCATCATCACCGTCACCATCATCACCACCATCACCATCATCACCATCATCACCATCATCACCATCACCATCATCACCGTCACCATCGTCACCATCATCACCACCATCACTGTCATCCATCATCACCAGCAGCAATATCATGGACATGACACATCCATTCCCTAGAAAGACTGTTCGAAGTTTCGGCTCTGAAGTCTGAAAGACCCAGACTGGATCCCTAGCTCTGACACATTCTAGCCGTGTGACTTTGGGCAAGTGACCCAACCTCTCTGAACCTCATATCCTTGTCTATGAAATGGGGCTGATTACGGTTTCTGCCTCAGAGGCTTGTGATGAGAGTCACAAGAGCTGGTACATGTGCAGCGCTGGCACCGGGCCCAGCTCCAATCATAAAAGCAGAACAAACACGGAGAACACTGGCCAGGGGAGCCGCAGTGAAGGGGAGAGCTTGGGGCACTTGGCTGGGAGTGCCCGGCAGCCCAGGTGCTACCCGGCCAGCGTGGGAACGGCTCTGAGGGCGTGGGCGGGCGGCTTGGGGGCCGGCCCAGAGAGCCCTCTCGAGGGCCCTTCTTTCTTCCTGAAGAAGCCAGGGCGTGGAGGGCTGAGGGGGCAGCTCTCGCCTGGAGCAGGGCGCGGGCTCGGAGCTGGCGCTGCCATCTGTCCAGTCTGAGAGAGGTCAGGGAGCGGGGCCCTTTTCCGAGCTGGACAGAAGAAGTCCCAGCAAGAGCCAGCCACTCCCTGCTCCTGACCCGAAGGGCTCCCCAAAGCTTCCAGCCCAACCCCCATCATCCCCGGTGCCACGTCCTTCCGGACCTTTCTGCCTGTTCGATGATGTTTTGAACAGCGGCGTTCAAGGGCCATGCCAGGCACCCTGAGCACCCACCTGCAGCCTCCAGGACTGCCGCGGGAGGCTGTGCGGGCCACGTGCTCCACAGCTCAAGGGCGCCGTTCGCACAGAACACATGGCGACGAGGCCCCCCAGATGTGCAGCACACAGCCATATGGGGCCTGGGGAGGGTGCCGTCTCCCTTGGGTGCCCCAGGTCTGGCTGCAGTTCAAGGCAGAGGAGACTGAGCTGCATCTGGATACCAGTCAGGCTCAGCGAGCCCTGCTGCCCAAGGCCTGTCCTTGAGAAGGCTGTGTGTGGGCGCCGGTGACAGTGACTGACTGCTGGCTGTCTTGAGCATGGGTCGTTGGCGGGCGGGCCCTGGGCTCAGGCAGGCATAGCTCACGTCTGCTCTACCACTTGCCGTGCGGCTTCGGGCACACCGCCAGGTCTCCCCATGCCTGTCTCTTCACTTAGAGGACAGCTAGGTGACCCCAGTCCTCTTGCTGGCAGTTACCGTGGCAAGGAAGCCAAGCAGTTCAGGTAGAGCTCTAAGCACAGTGTCCACCACGGAAGCAGGTGATGTCGCCGGCCAGGGAGGTGGGGCTCAGAGTCCCCCATTGGAAGGCGGCTCCCTAACATCCTGCCAGGGCAATGAGGGATTTGGGGCCTAATCTGAAGTCTTTGGCCCAGAGCCAGATCCAGCCACTACCTGATCGGGCCCTGTCAACATAACCTTTTCATCATCAAGTGCTTCTAAAGTTTCGGACTTTGTGCTGGGGAGATTTTGCGGGCAAATGCCGGGAAGGAAGAGGCCCCGCGGCCCAAGCCTCCGTCCCCTCGACTCACTCCTCGGCCCGGGGGTCAACCCACGGCCCCCAGCCCACCACCTGTCGTTGTGAGCTAAGAATGGTTTTCCCGTGCTTGAAAAAAACCAAGAGGAAAATAACCCCCCAGGACGTGTGCGAATCACACGATGTTCAAACTCTGTTCATAAAGCAAGTGTAATGGAAACACAGCCACGCTCGGTCACGAAATATCATCTGCGTCTGCTTTGCACGGCGGTGGCAGCATGGCCTCGCTGTGACGGAGACCGTGGGGCCCACGAAGCCTAAACTGTTACTGGGGCAGTTCCCCGACCCTGCTGCACCTCGGAATAACCTGGGGACTTAACAGCTCGCTGCTCGGGTCATGCCTCAGACCAGGTAACAGACCGGCTGGGGCTGGAGCCTATCGTCAGTATTTTAAGCACTGCAGGCAATTCTGTTATGTGGCTGAGCTTGGGACCTTCCAGCCCGATTAGAGTCCCTGCTGTGTCCACACCCGGGAGAGCCGCCCAGCTCAGCCAGCTCACCCAGGGTTCAGGCGCCTTTCCCGCCCCAGGGCCTGCGGGCAGGGTCTCAGGCTGGCCCCTGCAGGCCTCATTTTGTGTGACCCACACAGTAATGTTTAAATCAGGGAATTCCACTCTGGTGTCGGGGTCTGCACGCGCTCTTTAAAAAAGTGGACGATCGGGCCATCCCGAGCCTGCACTTCGCAGGGCATCGGGCAGCTGGACCCGACTCCGCTCTGCCTTTTTTCCTAACGTCACCTGCTCGGCCCCTGAAAACATTCGAGTTTGAAACCTTTGGCCCAAGGGTAAGGAGGTCTGGGCCAGTGCACCCCAAGTTTGAACATGCTCGCACGCCCCCCGGGAGTGCTGACAGGGGCGGATTCTGACTCGGAGGGTCAGGTGAGGCCCGGATGCCCTGTCTCTGACAAGCTGCTGGAAGACACGGGTCTGCGGGCCTCTGAGTGGCAAAGCCTTGGTCCTCACACTTGGGCGTGGCTCAGAACCTTCGGAGGGCCACAGGAACGCAGTTTCTGATTGGGAAGGCCGTGGCGGCCGAGGGTTTGACTTCCCAGGTGAGGCTGCCGCGGCTGGTCTGGGGCCAGGCTCCGGGGCTGGACTCGTTGGTGTCTCCTGGAGCGAGGGACTCTGGGTCCCCCAGACGGCGAGTATCTATCTCTCTGCTGTCAGCCACCCAGCTGTCCCCGAGGGAAGCAGGTCTCTCTTGGCTCCTTCAGGCGACTACCTCTTCGACCAGACCCAGGCAGTCTGCTCAAGTTCACGCCCGCAGTTGGAAGACATAATTGGGGCCTGGAGACGGGGAATTTTCCGTCTGTGCGTTGCAAACCTCTTTCTCTTGCTGAAGGGTGCTGACCTGAGCCCGCCCCTCTCCCCCCGCCACGGAGCTGTCACGTTAGGTACCACGGTGGCCTGTGCAAACAGATTCGAGCTCCAGATCTGGCGTCTTGGTGGGCTTGGCCCTGCAGCCCCAGGGCTGGAGGCAGAGGCCACACCTGCAGCACACGGGTGGGGCAGGGCCCTCTCGCAGGTCTGGCTGGGCCCAGTGCCGCCTGCCACAGCTGCCTTGAACGAGAATGGCCATAGGGGTCAGGACTGGTTTCCAGGAATCCTTCAACCTGAGAGGGCTGGCTGCAGGTCTGGATGGGCAAGCTTGAGCTGGCCAGAGATTATGAATCATTTCATTCTCTTCTGGGCCCTTGAGAGCAGGGACCGGCTGCCCTGCAGGGGCTCGTGTTGTCCCAGGCAGTCCCGTGGGACAGGGTGGACTGGGGAGGCAGCGTGAGCCAGTACTGGCTGCGCACTCAGCAGCTGGTAACCTTGGGGCGGGGGTGACACTTTGCAAGGTTGGCTGGAAGATTGAGCTGGGTGACACAGGTCACGTGCCGTGACAGTTCCTGCCACGCGTTAGCTGCCGAGCACACGGCGGGTGCCGCTCTCAGCATCACGGTAGGTACTGGTTGGGACCGTTTGGGTGCGGAGCGGCTCTGCCACAGCGTGCCTCGCAGACGGGACGGGAGGGGACGGACAGAGAAGCGCCTCTCTGGCGGCAGCGGTGTTTGTTCTGAGAGTCAGCGCGTTTTAAAGTGCCTACTGTGTGCTGACCACGGTCGGCACCATCCAAAACAGACGCCACACAAGCCACAAGTCTGAGCCACATAAGCAACTTGAAATGGTCTAAAATCCACATTAAAAAAAAGTAAAAAGAAACAGGAGAAATTAATTTTAATAATGTATTTTATTGAACCCCTGTATTCAAAATATCACTTGAACACGTAATCAATATGAAAAATTAATAGATTTTTTTTAATGGTCAACATGTCTGTTCAAAGCTTGTCATCGTGGTAAAGGAACACGCACGACAGTTTACACCACCTTCGCCGGTGCTGAGTGTGCGGCCCAGGGCGTCAGGCCCACGCGGCTGCCACGCGGCCGCCACCTCCACCCTCTCCAGAACTCACTCTGTCTCGCAAGATGTTAACGTTCGGCATCTCTCATTTTCACACCAGATTGTGCTTCACTCGGAGACCCACCTCAGCCCACGGAGCAGAGCAGGGGGCAGAGCCGGGCCGGGGCGTTCAGAGCTGCCGCGGAGGAGGAAGGACAGCCGGGAAGTGAGTGAGCAGGCTCGGTGGCTGGATGTCTCGGTGGCGCTGGTCCTACGGGGCAGACACGTGGGGCCGGGGGCTCAGGGGCGTGGGGCCAGCACGGGCCTCTGGGAGGTGGCCTTTGAGCTGAGCCTTCACAGAAGCGCCACAAAGACCAGGGTGATGCAGCCCCACCTGCCTCTGTGCAAGTTTAAACACATGTATGCAGGGGCCAGATGCTGGCACGGGCGTGCGTGCGCGTGTGACCGCTCGCCGAGTGACCAGGAGAGCTGGGGCCGCTGCTGGGGACCAACGATCTGGCTGGCACGCGCGTGTGTGTGCGTGTGACCGCTCACTGAGTGATGCTGGCATGCGCGTGTGTGCGCGTGTGACCGCTCGCCGAGAGCTGGGGCCGCTGCTGGGGACCAACAATCCAGGGGACACTGCTGCACGCACTGGGGACAGCAGGTGCCGAGGACGTGGGGTGCACTGTCTTGGCAGAGGAGGAGCAGAGGCAGCAAGGCGGGGTGGGACGGGGCTGCAGGCGGCAGCGGCCAGGCCTCGCGGCCCTGGGACCATGCTGAGGGGTCTGGGTTTTATTCGAACATGAGGCCTTCTGGACAAAAGTTCCGGACACTCACTCTTTGTCTCTGCCTAAGGGGAAGAATGACAACCACAGGTTTGAGGTGCCACATCCTGGTGCGTTAGCTCGGCAGCGAGGCAGGCGGTTAAATGCGGGGCGTTTCCACAGGACGGTTTGGAGCCCGTCGGTTGGGGGCAGTGAGAACGGCTTCTCCCCTAGGCAGGTTGGTGGGAGGGGGCGGACCTGCTGCCCGCCCTCCGGGTCTCGGCTTCCCGTCTCCTCAGCCCGTCCAGTTTGTTACCACCCAGGCCTGGAGGCTGGAAGTCCAAGGTCAAGGTGTGGGCAGGGCTGGGCCTCTCTCGGCCTGCGGGGCCCCCTCTCCCCATTGTGTCAGAGACACCGCTGGTCTCTTGGGTGTCCAGTCGTCCCCTTCTTATCAGGAGGCCATCAGATTGAGGCGGAGCCACCCTTACGGCCTCTCTGCGACTTAATTACCTCTTCAAAGGCCCTCTGGGGTCCGGGGGGTCGGAGGCTCAGCACATAAACTTTGAGGGGACCCGATTTGGTTCCAGGTGGCAGGTGGCTAGAAGGAGACCCCACCACCACCACCAGCCATGTCGGGATGTTGGGGAACGGCCTCCCCAAAGGGATGGCTTCCAGCATAACCGACGCTTGCCAGCAGCCCCCCCACCAGCAGGACAGGCTAGACGGGGCCATAACTCGCCACGGCTGGGGTCAGTCCCCAGAAAACATGGGGCGATGCGGAGAGGGAAGAGGGCTTCTGTTCAGAGGGGACTGGGAAACGAAGCGGGAGCTGTGTTCCCCCCATTTTACAGGAGGGCGAGTCCAGCCACGACGTCGCACAGTGCTGAGCGTGGGGTTCGAACCGGGCTCCCCAGCACCACCCCCTTTCGAAGGGCGGCGAGGGGGTGGGAGCCGGGCCGGGGCCAGCTGCGGCTTGGCCTTTGTCCTGCAGACACCCTTTCTGATGGGAGCGTGGCGTGGCCCGGCTGAGCCTCGGGGACGGCCATCGGAACCCGGAGCGGGCACTTCCCGAGCCGGGAACCGCCCCTTGCGCCGCCTGTGCGAGCCTCGCCTCGCAGGGAGGCGTGGAAGCCGAGCAGCCGCCCACGGGCTCCCATCCTTCCCTCCCCAGCGACGACCCTCACAGCTGGGCCGAGCTCTGCATGCACCCCCCCCCACTGCAACCCCCGGGAATGGGGCCCCGTGCCACCCCGTTCACGGATGACATGACCAAGGCTCAGAGAGCTGCTGTGCCCAGTCCAAGACGCCACCCAAATCTGACCCCGAAACTCGCATTCTGATAAAAATAGAACGATTTGTGTTTCCCACAACGGCTATACGGCTGGACCTGCTGCGTGAGCCCCCAGACCTGACCGGGTCGTCCCTGTGTGTGTGACTCTGGTCAGGGACACTGCATTTCCTTCCTAGCGGAGCAGCCACCTCCTCTTCCGCGTCTGCTCCCCACACCCCTGGCACCTTCCAAGTCTCCCACAGACTCTCGGCTCCAAGTTGCCTCCAGCCTTGGCAGGGGCGGAGGGAGGGAGAGGAGCAGGGATCAAATGGGACCGGCCACATTCTTCCCCACCGGCTGTCAACACACGCCACCCACCCTGGGCAAGTGGCCACTTGCATGGCAGGCGAAGGGCAGGGATGTGGACTTGCGTGGTCTCCCTTGGCACCCTCCAGTCGTCCGCCCACTGGGACATGATGACTCGGCCCCTGGCACAGGGCCCGGCGGGGGAGGCACTCTCCCCTGTAATGACACCTGCACAGGAGAAAGCCTGGTGTAGGAAATGCAGCCTCTGAAATCCCCTGAAACCCACCTTCGGCTCACTCTGTCCCCGGCAAGAAAGGAAGGTCCCCCTGCCTGTGGGACAGAGTGTCCGGCTGCCAGAGACCCCAGGCAGATTCTCTAGTTGATTGAACACCCTTCCCCATTTACGCTTTTTATTTTTTTAATTGTAAAAGCAGACTGTAAAAGTAACCAAGAATTTGGAGCACAGTTACAGACATTAGAACACAAACAGAGGTAAGTGTACATCCAATCTGAACTTCTCTCGCAAACAGTCACATTTAACCTGGATCAATCCAGCACCCCCTCTGCCTCTCTCCCGGGGGTGCATCTAAATCCTAAAAAGCATGCTTTTTTTTTTTTTTAACGCATCCATTTTAAAAAAATTCTCCCATCATCCCCGCTGCCCCGACAACCATTTTTCCTGACGGTCGATTTTTCTGCATAGCTTTAATCTCGCTTTTATCAAGTACGTTCTATCGTAAGCTTTGTACCATGTTGCTATAAAAAATTTTTCTCGTTTATTTTTTTTTGCATCACACAAGCAATATATATTCATTGCAGGAAAGTTATAAAACACAGATACACTGAAAACATTTTAAAAAATAATAATCACAGATCCTGCCACCCAGACACAATCACTGTAAACCTTCTCGTTAACCCCATCCAATTTTTTTCCCTATGCACGTAGATACCTATAAATCCAGTTTTTTTTTTCCCTTAACAAAAATAATTGACCACGCTTCTTCGCGGCGTCCTGGTCTGAAGCCACGTGCCTACTTGTCATGTCCCTCCGCCCGGCTGTATGGTTAGGTTTTCTTGCCAACGACACTCGTGACCATGCAGAGAAGCCAGGCAGTGAGGGTTCAGTCGTCACAAGGTGTGGCCGCCTTTCGAACCCACATGTGGTGCTCGGCCACGGGGTGACAAAGAGACAAGCTAGGAGCACCCTGGCCTCATGGCCAGGCAGGTCCCCCGAGGCTTAGCCTGTCGGCCAAAGGCCAGACGGTGCTTGTTTCTCCTCTAAAGGGCCGTTCAAAAAGAAAGTGTTTCTCTGGCAGCCATGGCCACATCCGGTGTCTTGGAGTTAAGGGTCTTGGGACTGACTGGGGTGGCAGGACACATGTTGGACCACTCCTGGGATGGAGGCTAGTTTAAGTGGAAAAAACAACAGAAAGGGGTTTGTAAGGGCGCCGCCGTGCACGGCAGTGGGGAGCCGAGGGGTTTGAGTGGACGGTTGTCCCCGAGTGGGACATGGCCGGATACTGCATCTAATCTCTAATCTGGGGACTGCACCAGGAGAGGGAGGGTCTGCTGTACGTCTCCCTGTGCAGTGTGGCGTGTGCAGGTGGTTTTTCCATGGTGCTGGCAGATGTTTCATCTCACGGGGAATTGTTTACGTCATGTTAGAAAACATATAATTAGTGACATCAAGGCTGTGATTTTGAGGGCAATCTCACTTAGAACAAAGCTCAGTAGGCATTTAAGTAAGAACAAGCGTGAGTCGACATAAAGAAAGATATGGACACAAGGAAAGTATAATTGGTACCCAGTTGCAGCCCAGATTGTGAAGGCGGCATTGAGGTTGGTCCGCGGGGGTCAGGAGTTTGTCCCCGAGAACACAAAGCCAGCCAGCCAGCCATCGTCGGCGCCACCCTTCACCTGCTTTTGCTACAAGAGGCCTGTGTCTGCAGAGGCAGCTTCTTCAAGCTCTTCACCATCCCGAAGAGAGCCGGGCCAAGCTTCCAGAAGGTACTAGAAACAAATAGTCCGCACAGGTGTGCGAACTGGCTTCCTAAAGCCTGGAAGCTGGGCCGGGCCGGTCAGCTTTGAACACGGACGTCGCATCCTGCAGCATTGCAGTAACTGCTCCTGAACCGTGGGCCTCGGTTTCGCCGCCCACGCCGGCACTGGAGCGTTTATTTTGGAAGCGAGGTTCAAAGACGGGTCTGCGGATTTGCATATTCTTTAGACCTGGGATCATCGTGTCGGCGTAGGAGAAAGGGGGCCCGGGGGCCTCCCCACCATCCGCCTTTTAAAAAATAATATAGTCCTAGGCTTTTGACTCTCAGCTCTTGGCTGGGGCTGGTAAAAGGGACTCTTAGGAAGCGGGTGATGACGGTCGCCAGGAGGGGGTGCCCAGGTCTGTGCCTTCAGGACGCCCCAAAGCTCCAGGAAGGTGCTGATGGGGTGCCTTGCCCTTGTGAGCATTTTCTTTTGTAACTTTAATTATCAAAAAAAAAAAAAGGCGGCGGCTCCCGTATCGTTTGCCCATCACCACCTAAGTGCGAGGGGCACTGGCCTGGTCTCTGGTCGGCATCGCGTGGCAGATACTCGCTGAACTGTCTGTCTGTCCATTTTAAACGCTGCATTGTCCTTTTTGCGTTTTGGAAATTTTTTATTTTTTTTTTTTACTTGCTGAGCCCTCTGAAGCAAAGAAGCTGGTGAGGGTTGATGTGCCACCCATACCGCTGTGATCGGGCACGGTTCTAAACACCCACAGAGGCGGGGTTCACGTTGTCCCCAGGACCGACGAGGAAGTGGGGCACAGAGTGGCCGGGTGGATTAGCACCCACGCCCGGCCCCAGCACCCACGCATGCATGGGGGCATGGGCGAGCCCTCCCCCA